CACACACACACTCACACGCACACACACTCATACACACGCACACACACACACACACGCACTCACTCACTCACACACACTCACACGCACACTCACTCACTCACTCACACACACTTATCACACATTCACACACACTCACACACATTTATCACACACACACAGGTTTGTTTTTGTGAAAAGTGGGGACTCTCCATAGGCGTAATGGTTTTTATACTGTACAGACCGTATATTCTATTGCCCTACACCAACCCTACCCCTAAACCTACCCCTCACAGGAGACTTTCTGCTATTTCAGATTTTCAATACACTCCATTCTGTGTGATTTATAAGCGTTTTGAAAAGTGGGGACATGGGGTAATGTCCTGAAAAGTCACCTTCTCCTTGTAATACCTATGTTATACCTTTGTCATTATACAAATTTATTTTGTATAAACTCACACACACACACACACACACACACACACACATACACACACACAAATCCATCCAGACATCAGAAGGTTGCGGGTTTGAATCCCAGATGGCCTGATTCATGAACAGATACAGAAATCAGCCACATTAATGCCAGAAAATGCCACTGCGGATCAGAAACCATCTGCTGAATAATCAGGCAACAAGAGCTTGACCAAACACAGCCAACATCAATAACGTACACTGAACTATCTGCTGCTGCACTGGTTTGATTCAATCATCCACACATCTGTGCAAAGAGCTGCATGCCTCCACAAGCTGAACATCAGCCCTGCAACGCAACAAATACTCCTCTTATCTGCACTTCTGTCTTGTTTTCCAGACAAACCATCCTTAAAAACAAGATAACTCGTGTGTTTTGACCATGCTTGTCTGTTAACAGGATGAACTTATTCTGATGAATGTATACACTTAATGAATAAATGTGCACTGCAACTGCATCTTCTGCATCTCAAGTAAATGTATCTTGATTTAAGAATGTTTAAATATTTGTACTGTAAAACAAGACACAAGTACTGAACAAGAAAATACATGTTTGCAGTGTAAGTGTTAAAACATTGTAATTAAAAAAATGTATAAGATACACCAAAACATTCATTAATATGTTACATGTAACATTATATATATAATTAAAAATGAATAAAGACTTTGCCTGAAAACTATCCAAAATTTTGTGAATTTCAAGGATGCTTAAATAGTTTAGATAACCACACAAAAATACTAAATAAGAAC